TCTTTGCAAGTACTTTAACTGGAATAAACGCATAAAAAAATTAAAAAGATACATTTTTTTTTAAGCGAACAGTAACATTTACGTGCTTAATTCGAAAAGCAAATTTGCGATGAACTATCAGCTAAATCATTCTTATACACAATTCCATTCTCTGTTCATGGTTACATCTATAGGACTAGAAAAAAGATAATTATGTAATTGTAAGATTATATTATGTTAATATGTTATTTTATTATGCCATTGTCATCGATTTCCACAACCATTTATGGTGAGAGGATATAAGAAAATTCCATTGTATCTATATTATTCCTATTTAAAAATATTATATGGCTTTTAATTATTATTTTGTTTATTGGATTTGGGATAAATTATTTTATGAAGAAAAGACATTTTTTCTTTTCTTTTCAGTAATTTTTTCCCATTAAGATCAAAATAATTACAAGCAAAATTCAAAATTTTCAACAAAAGAAAAAAAGTACTCTTTTGAAAAAGTTAGAAGTTGTTGTAAATTAGATTTTTTTTTGTGATGCTTACTTTTATGCATTTGTTTTATAAAAAAAAAAAATTCACATTTAATTTCCTTTTCATGGTAAAAAAATTTTGTGCAAGTTTTATTGCCATTTTCCAATCGAAAAAAGTGGAGTAATTTTAGATATTCAACCATCAAATATTCATTTGAATAAGAAAATACGATAAAATACCTTATAGCAACATAATTTAGAACATAGTTTAAAGCACATAACCTTTTAAATTTTATCACCACAGTAAAATATATATAACGATCAAATTTATTATAAATGAACTGCATGTAAGTTTATATATACATAAAATTTATAATAAACTCTACTTGGAGACAAAAAGGACTTGAATAGTAAAGATTAAAAAATATAAAAAATATAATTGAGATTGCGAAACATGAATAGATGGATGATGTAGTATTATAAGCATTTCTGTCAGGGAACAGCTTTATAAAAAAAGTAGGGTTTAAAGTAGTCTTATGGCTAGCTAACTTTCCTCCTTTCTGTTTATATTACTGAGGAAAACCCTGCGAAATATAATAGATAGAAGCTCTAAATCCATTATATATACATATAAGCAATAAAGTAGCTAGTCAGTACAGGACATAGTAATTGCAAACTTTGAAAGGCTTAGAAAAGACAAGTTTAAACAAAGTCATAAGACGCCAATCTATCTCTTTATTTGCCTATATTAAGAATTAATTGGTAGAGAAATCAATGAATAAGCAAACTTATTTTATTATATAAAAAAGAGATTTAGGAAATTTAATAATTTAATATGATAGTTCATGTTCTAAACAGTATCCCCCATTTTTTAATATTGTTAACTGTATCACTATCTTTTCTAATTAAATAGTAATTAAGCAGCAAATACTTTTGTATTATATTCCTACACATTGATAAATGAATAATACTATTCCAGTATGGAACTTGATGTTTACATTAAAAGCATCCCTTTTACCAAAAAATATTGCCATTTAATTTATGATTCATAGCATATATAGATATTCTGTTAAAAGTTGGTGATTATTAGTTTAAATTAGGTTTAAGTGAGTAGGATAAAACGGAAGTCAAACTACTTTCACCAAAAATAATTGTATCATCACTATATCTAAATAGATAAAAATTATTATTATCAATAGAATGTTTTTCATAAAATTTTTAAAGATTAATTGGTTAAACTATTTCTAGCAGGTCATCCTTGAGGTAAATTTTTAATGTGATTATGTATATAATACACCTTTACAATAATTAAAATTTCTTTGAGAACTAAATCTATGAGAAAATTATGATTTTAAAACATTATTACATATTACTTAGACCATGGGTGTCTAAACTATGATCGTTTGATGGCCACATTGCAACAAAAAAAAATTTCTGGGCCACGCATACAATATTTTTTTAACGAATTGAATTAAAGTTAACTCTATGTAGTTTTATTAAAATAAATTGACTTCTTTTTACTATAATTTTTTTAAAAATATGAATTATATATTTTTTGGGGTACATACTTATTTAAAATTTATAAAAGTTTCGTTTTATTTATAGTTTGGATTTCATGAAGATGGGAAAAATTCAAATAAATGAGATAGATGAATTTGCTTTTGTTGAACAACTAAATCGCGCGTGATATCGAGTTCAATAGACGAGACTGCAAATTTTTAATGCAATTTTCAAGAAGGTTGTCAGAGTGATCTTGTCCTATTTTTGTTTCTTGTATGCTTCATTCTTGAAAATAATCGTTCACAAATATAGATATTGCCAAAAGCTGAAGACATTAATAAAGCATGATTGTGAAAATAAGGATATTTATTGCGGGGTAGGTAATCTTTATAAAACTCCAGTAAAGAAACATTTCGAAATTTTTCTTTCATTTGAATATCACTTTGCAGTTCAATGCATTCCATTTGAAGATTTGACTGTATTGAAAGTAAAAATTCGTCATCGAGTGGATACACACATAATTCGAAGTGTAAATTCTCATCACATACTAAGGTATGTTTTTATTTAAATTTTTATTTCAAAATAATTGTCAGCGAATCGATTACATATGAAAAATATTGCAAATATTTATTTTTTAAAATAAAAATGAAAAAATTTAATTATTTTCATAATTTGCGTTTGGGACGCACTTACGATAAGCATGATTTAGACCATAATTGTCATAATTTTCTAAAATAAATTTTACTGTATTGTTAGTATAAATTGAGTTAAATAGATCTTTTCAAAATAACAACTCTATTTATGGAATAAATATCTTTGTCTCTTAAATAATTAATGAGATCCATAGTAATTTTGAAGAATTAACTATAATTCTGAGAGATTACTTAAAATATTTGTATTAAATAAATTGTAATAATTTACAGGAGTAGTAGTAATGTAGATTATATATGGACGTGAAATTATTACATATGTTTATTTTTTCTTAACTGAAGGGAAAAAAAGTCATTTTTCATATATAAGCAAAAGATACTAGTTTAAAAATTAGAATGAAAATGTTTCTCTTTAACTAAATATTTATTTTATGCTGTGTCAACAACATAAATTTGAAATGAGACGCAGAGAATTAAAAGGAACCATAATAAAAATTCATTTTCAAAATCTTAAGATTGAAACATGAAAAAAAAATTTACCTGTTAAAATGTATACTTCAATATGCTCTTATTCGAGATATGTCTTTAATTATAAAAATCTTTTATTATGGTAAATATTTTTAAAGAATGCAAAACGAGAATACTTAATTAAAAATAATTCTGAAGAAATCTTTTAGGTTGTATTTATGTTATATAAAATATTTATAACTTTATAATGTATTTCAGTTGGATAACTAGAAGCGAATTTAAATATTTTCGTAGATGTGTGTTTTTTAGATATTTGTATTCAAACATCGAAATGAAATTTTTGATTTTTATGTCGAGTATATTCAGCTTTCATTTAAATTTCAATCTTTTGTCATCCATTAAAACATTTTTTAGGGGAAAAAAATAGGTTTACAGTTTGTACAAGAATAGGGATTATTTTTGAAATATACCATAAAATAATTTTTTCACATTAATTTTACATGTTTAGATAATGAGAGTGCTGAATATTTTTTCTTGATGAAATTGTAATTTAGTTTTCATGAGCTTATAAAAGAACACTGGGTACACATATGAAATATTTTGATGCAAAGAACTATAACTCTTAAAAAAACCATAGCTAAGATTAAAAAAGCAACAACGGTAGCTTTAATAATAGAATATTCTCTAATTATATGCAAATGAAATATTTTTTTAAAAAAATAATAAATTTGGGAAAAGCGAAGAAAGATTTTACAAAAATGTCATTACAAGAAATGTCATATTTTATATTACAACTACATAACCAATATTTTATTTACAATCAGTATTTGTTACCAGTAGTATTCCTTTTTTCTCTCTTTATAGTGGAAGAAAACGAAAAAAAAAAAAAAAGAGAATGGTATTTTTGAGAAATTTTCCTTTAAGAATGTTTTTCTTTTAAAAAAATTTTAAGATTTTTCACAAATTTTTATAATTACACTTTCTATTTACAAATACGCTATAGGAAGCTGCAAACGATAGGATATGCGTGAAAATGCATGTAATATATGAAAGAAAAAGGAAATCTGAGTGAGTGTTATATTAACGTCGTACTATAAAACAACTTGAAGGCCATTGACGACAGACCTCGTAATTTTACACCTCAGCCAAGTGACGAGGACTTTAAACCTAGGCTGGCACCCCTCTGCAAACTACCACCCCGCGCCAATGGGAGGACTTTGAGTCTCGAAAGATTTAGCTTGTATCAGCTTTCTCTTCACTCAGGATCTACACATAGCAACACCAGAACTCGAACCCGCGACACGGCGGCCACGAGTTCATGGACATAACCAGTAGGCTACTGCGGCCACAAGAGGCAATCTCTAACATGCATAGATTCATTTAAGTACTAAATCACACACACAAAAAAAATTAAAAAACACATTTTCTAAAACGTTTTTTATTTTTTACTTGGCATTTTGCAACAGATTAACAAGGAGTCCCACTCCCAGGGGTAAGAGAGTGGGTATGGACCAAATTTGAAGAGAATATCAAACTGATGTTAAAAATTCGTTTATATAAATAAAAAGATTTTATTACTTCACTTCCAGTTTTAATTAAAAAGTATATTGATGTGTAAAAATAACAAGTAATATAAAAAAAAATTTTAAGTCACTTCCTACTTAGGTGTGAACAAAGAAAATTTTTATTTTAGTTACTTTTTATTAAATAGTTACAATTCATATAAATATGTGCATACGCATGACAGAATCACAATATTAAGGGACAAAACAGAAAGCGATTTTCCTAGAAATTTTCCATTTTCCTTTCTATATAGGGTGTTGGACTATTTTTTGTTTGTTACTATTTATTCATAAAGAAATTTAATTATTCTAATGAAATAGTATAGTAAAAAAAGAAATCACATTTTCAGAAATTAGGCCCTCCCGCGGGGGATTCGAACCCCCGACCATTGGATTAGAAGTCCAACGCGCTATCCATTGCGCTACAGGGATACAACAAACGATTTTTCTTTCTATATATGGTGTTGGACTATTATTTTTGTTTGTTTCTATTTATTAATTTTTTTAACTTAATTAATAAATTAATATTTGAAAAAAAACTGCATTAACATCAAGTGTTATCCAGTACAAGTTTAAAAAAATGTGATGAACTTGAAGGGATAGAAAGTATTTCATTAACGATTGAAAATTTGAACAAGATATATATATATGTGTGTGTGTGTGTTTGTGTGTGTGTGTAATAATTCCCAGTAATATAATTCTTTTAAATATCTTTTAATTATCTAGTCCATCCCTTCAGGGGGGGGACCCACATTTTAGTAATAAATAAGCCAGCCGCTTAACGAGAGTATTTTAAACTACATCTAGCTACCCACTCAGATCATGTGATTTGAGCCGCCTATAAAAACTGAGATTCCTGGAGACCAACGCTCTTTCGCTTCTTTATTTGTCTGCGTCAACATGTAGCCGGTTACAGCTTGGTTTGTGCTTGTGTTGTGTGTGTGTGTGTGTGTGTGTGTGTGTGTGTGCATGTTTCTTTGTGATTCCGTCTATCTGTGTGTCTTCATGCTCAGTGTACAATAAACAAGAATAACTAATATCAAGACTGCCTCCTCAATAATAGTAAATATGCAACATAAATCGTAAGAAATAGTAATCATAAAAAGAAATACCTTTCAACGGCCACGTCTATTTCATATATATATATATATATATATATATATATATATATATATATATATATATATATATATATATATATATATATATATATATATATATATATATATATATATATATATATATATATATATATATATATATATATATATATATATATATATAGGGAGAGAGTGAACTAATAGTAAGAATTGAGAAAAAGCGAAATTAAGAATTTAGCATATCAGCAAACAGGACGAACCAAAAGACCAATCAGGGGATCAACTAGAGTCAGGAAAGGTAGGTTATGCGTATACGTACAACATTCTGTACTGGGAAAGTGTCAGAACACTATAAAATGCACTAGCTGAACATTTAGGGGAAAGCTATAGCAAGGAGTATATCATTTTATACAACGTCGAATTGCTGTATCAATGTGATTTGTCGAATAGGCAATCCTATAGAGCCTATAGGCTTGTATATTGGTCCATATTACAGTGTAGACAATCTCTGTATGATTACATTGGATCAAGATGATAGGTCCTACAGTTGAAAACTTAATTAGGAGGTCAAAATTTGCTAGATAGATTTTTACCGAATTTTTCTCGATTCTTTTAAAGTGAACCAACACAGCCCTTAAGTAATTTAATAACCTCAACCCTTTCAAACTCATTTATCTCAATCGAATTTCTACTCCGGATATGAGAGCATCTCTCAACGCAGACTTCAACCAATCAGTCCTTCACAATTAACAGCGGAACTCCTTCCCAAGCATTCGACTATTCTACGCCATTCTTTAAACAATACATCGAACAACATAAAAACCGAAGAGAAACTTCCACCTTAATAATTCATTCTTTTTTACTATCTTAAACAAAGCAAAAAAAAAAAGGGTTCTCTCGAATTTCTATCACACGTAGGTAGCCCTAGAAGTCAGGTGAACACCCAAAAGTCTTTTGTGAGCGACGGATCTGGCAACACTCCAGCTCAGGGTGGAGAAAAAGGGTCCCATGGGGTGTAGTGTCGTGCCGACTTGGGTCCCCCGCCCTAGATCCGTTACGCCTCATTTCAAGAGAACCGAGAGTTTTCTTGTAGGAGGAGGCCTTTTCAAAATGGTTTCGAGTTGATAATGGTATCGTCGGTGTTGTATGGCTTTATTGGATAGTGACACTTGATGAATTTTAATTTTAAAATGACTTAATGAAGCATGGGTGAAAGTTCCTTTGTGGATTTGGTATGTGGGAACCGTTTTCTTGTCAATTCCATAATTATCGTATTCATTGACATAGCTGAAAAGAATTTTAAGAGTTTGAATATCCCCAACATTTTAGGAATAAGATTTACACTTTTTAATAAATAAACTGGCATTGTTTATTTCTTTACATTATATATATTGGCCTTGGATTACTATTTGACAGCATTAAGAAATAGAGCCATCTGCTTAATAAAAATCACGATATTACGTTAAACTTAAAAACTTTTTTTTTAATAATTTGGTTCCAAAAAAAATTTTACTTTAAATAAATTACAATCAATATAATGACAATTAATAATCAATATAATTACAATCAATATAATGCAATTGCATCAGTATAATGTGAGCCTATATTTTTTTCTCTAATGGGGCTGCGGATTGGTATTTCTACCTTTGCAGACCTTGTACATTCCTCAGGAGCTGATATAACTTTTTATTGCGGCACCCTATAGGCGATACCAAATGTCACAAGTAATTTTGGCGCTCAGTTTCCTCTCCAGAGGGAGGCACCTGTGCTCTGCCGATGTGAAATTTGTACTTAGGAATTTAATTTTGTCGAAAGCCTACAAGCCAAACGGCCACTGAAGAGATTTTTTACATGCCGCATAATCATACGACATGGAAGCTATCGATTTTCTGCATCATGAAAATCCGCCGACTTGGGTCGAGGTTGAACCCGCAACCTTGAGTGCAGAAAGCCAGCGACAAACCAACTACGCCACCCAGCCTGCAGGGCCTATATTATATTACAATAAATAAAATTTTATGATAAGTGTTTGTGGTTTTATAAATAAATTTACTCATGTAACTAAATAACGGGTACTAATTAATTAAAATTTATAATTAAAACTACTGGATTAAATTATTATATGAATATTTATCTCAATTTATTAATTATATATTAAACGACATACTTAGCTTTGTGCCTTTTTTGATGAAAACTTGTACGATTAAAGTATAAATCCAACAAAAATTAAGTTTTTTTAAATCATGTATGTAAATATTTTTCTGGAAATATTCTGCGTTTAAATTAAAGTGTATATTTAAACTTAATTAATTACCTCAGATTTATTTAAAAATGAAAAAGAAATTCGAATTTGAAGAAAAGACATAACATGGAATATTTTTTGAGTTTTACCGCTGATTTAAAATTGTGCAAAGATTATGTATAAACTAATAAATCTACTAAAAATGAGTTTTTTGAAAAAATGATGTAACTCATAAAATCAAAATCATTTGGCCCCCAAACATACCAAGAAGTAAGCCAAATTAAGAAAAAATTATTTGAAGGTCTAGTAAAAGTATTGCAGTAACACTACTATCTCAAAATTCAGAATACTTTGATCTTGGAATTTTTTCAATCATTTTTTGATTTCCTGTTTTATTAAATTCCTACTATTAGTTCACTCTCTCCATATACACTCAAGAGCCAAAACATTATGATCACCCTTACATTTTGCAATGAACTCGCCTGGATGACGTGGAAGGCAAGTGATCAGGTGGAAGTGGTATTTAACTACTGCTGGAGAGTCTGAAGAATCATTCTTTCACTTACTTTTGTGTGTGATGGGAAAGGCTGCGGATCTAAGCGACTTTGATAGAGGGCAGATTGTAATGGCTTGAAGGCTCGGAACAAGTATTTCCAAAACTGCACGACTCGTGGGTTGTTCGCGATCTACAGTTGTTAGTAATTATGCAAAGTGGATGAATGACGGTGAAACCAGAAGTAGACGACATGGTGTTGAAGTTCACACGCTATCAAAGAAAAAGGTCGACGGAGACTGTCTCGCATGGTGAAGCAAAATCTGAGCCAGACAGTGGCTCAGCTGACAGCTCAAAACAATGCAGGGCCAAGTAGAATAGTATCGGAGCACACTGTTCAGCGGACACTGTTGGATTTGGGGCTACGCAGCAAAAGTCCCACTCGTGTGCCTTTGCTGACCAAGCGTCATCGCCAACTGCGCCTGCGCTGGGCCCGGGAACATCGCGACTGGTCCTTGGATCAGTGGGAGAGAGTTGTCTGGTCAGATGAATCATGGTTTTTCATTCATCACGCCGATGGCCGTGTCAGGATACGCCGTCTTCCAGGCGAACAGTAGCTTCCTCAATGTACAGTAGGTCATACACAGGTTGGTGGTGGCGGTATTATGCTTTGGGGACGTTCTCTTGGGCGTCTCTGGGACCCGTGGTTGTGGTAGAGAAGACCAGGAATGCTACAGGGTATCTGAACATCATTGCTGACCAGTTGCACCCTTACATGGCCTCTGTTTTTCCAACTGGAAATGGAATGTTCCAACAGGACAACGCCCCGTGTCACAAGGCTAAAATTGTGTTGGAGGGGTTCCAGGAACATGATGCTGAATTTCAGTTAATGTCCTGGCCACCTAACTCACCGAATCTAAATCCGATGGAGCACATTTGGGATGTCATGGGACGGCAGCTCAGAGTTCAAAGACCACCAATTCGCAATATCTCGGATTTGCGTGACCGTTGCTTAAACATCTGGTACAATCTGTCTCCGACCATCTACCAAGGACTTGTGGCATCCATGCCAAGGCGGGTTGAAGCTGTGTTGCCCGCCAAAGGTGGGCCAACTCGTTATTGACAGGTGGTCATAATGTTTTGGCTCTTGAGTGTATTTATATATTTTGTTCAAATTTTGAAGTGTTAATGAAATACTTTCTATTCATCCAAGTTCAAATAAATTTTTTAAAATTTGTAGTGGATGACACTTGATGCTCATACAGTTTTCAAATATTAATTCATTAATTAAATTAAAAATGAATAAATAGTAACAAACAAAAATAATATTTCATGGTATATATAGAAAGAAAATCGCTCGTTGTGTCCCTGTAGTGCGTTGAACTTCTAATCGAAAGGTCATGGATTCGAATCCCACCTGGGATGTTCTAATTTATGAGAATGTGATTTTTTTTACTATACTATTTTATTAAAATAATTAAATTTAATTAATGAATAAATAGTAGCAAACAAAAAAATAGTCCAACACCCTATAAAGAAAAGAAAATGGAAAATATTGCAAGGAAAATCGCTTTCTATTTAGTCACTTAATATTGAG